ATCAATCAATCAATCAATCAATCAAAAAAAAAAAAAAAAATCGAAGAAATTAATCAATCAATCAATCAATCAATCAATCAATCAATCAATCAATCAATTAATCAATCAATCAATCAATCAATCAATCAATCAATCAATCAATCAATCAATCAATCAATCAAAGAAAAAAGAAAAAAGAAAAAAGAAAAAAAAAACGTTTTTTTTTTTTTTTCACAATTTTCGTTGTGATACAGCCAACCCCCCACAACAAAAACTGTGTTTTTTTTCATGTCTTTTTGTTTGAGGGGGTGGGGCCAAGGTTGCGCCGCCCCATCACGCTTCTCGTTTCCCCAACCCCCCTCCCTACAGACCGCCACGTGGCCGCAAAGCCGTGTGTCCGCACGGACACGTCCGCGGGCTTCGCGGCCCGGCCGCGGCCGCGGACTTGACCGCGGTTGTCCGCCGCCTAGGGGGATTCATAGCTACTGCGATGTCACGGATCTTCCGAAATCTCTGCTGACAGCTGCAAAGGAAATCCGATTGCTACGATTAGGGACAGAGATCAATTCTTTGGAACCCCCTGAGCGCCTCGAAGACGGACTCGGAATCAAGATCGCCACGAAACCTGTGTCGTGGCAAGACATTCGAGACGGAATGATGCATGAGGAACACGGGGCCATCCGAGAAGAGGATGCACAAATGATGGCCACAGTGTTCTCCTGGCGATCCGATAACTCGTTCATTTCTGCGCCCCCGCCGGAAAATAGTAAACGAAAGAATACAAAACACATCGATGTGCGGATATGGGACGAATCATACGAGTTCCACGTACCCCGATACGTACCTGACGAAATCCACCACCTGATCGCAGACATCCGGAAAGAATACAAAGGATCGACTAGTGTGACGGACACAGACATTGGACTATCGTTAGTCATACAGCATGAAATCCAGACAGGAAACCATTCCCCAATTCATTGCAAACCTTACAAGTATTCCCTAGTAGAGCGGAAAAAGGCTCTCGAACGGATTCGAGAATTCGAAGCAAGCAGTTGGATTGAACCCGCCACCGGACCATGGTCATTCCCGGTAGTATTAGTACCGAAAAAAAATGGATCCATCCGCATATGCATTGATTATCGCAAACTGAATGATATCACGATCAAAGATGTGCACCCCCTCCCCCGGATTGATGATTTGCTGGATGCGATTGGGTGTGCTAATTATTTCAGTAAGTTTGATATTCGGCATGGCTTCCATCACATTCTGGTTAAGGAGGAAGACGACGACTCTCTATTGCTATCTTCTTCCCCCGCATCTCTTGCCTTATCCCATACTCTGTCCCCGTCATCATCGCCACATCATCGCCATGAGCTTTCTCATGGAGCGAGCCCTCGGCGACCATCTCTTAACGCCACGGGGATACATCTCGGCGATTCGGCAGGTTCATCATCCACGGTTCAATCTCGATCTTCTACGACTGGCGCAATTCTTTTGCACTTCGGGAGTGTACGCAGCGGCCGAGTTTCGATTCGCGGGCAGTCCGCAGGCGATCGTGCTAGCAGAAGCAGTAGCCGTTCATCGGCGATTTGCTCCGGGGATTAGCCACGTGTCCACGGTTGTCGGCTTCAGCAGCGACATCAGTACAGTCAGTGCGCTCCGGCATATGGCCATCTGGACGTCATTAAGGGAGTGGGTGCAACAACTGTCGACGGAGTGGAACCACTGGCTTATGCGCCACGGAGATAATCTTTTCCCCACAGACGACGTCGAACTCGGTGGTATTCGGGCGTTCCAACACGAGCCAGCGGTGGTGCTGCCGAAACTCATCCCCTTCCAACGTCCCCGATGAACCGCTCCCAACTCTCCACCTTCGCCCTCCCATCTCTCTTTCCCACCTTCTGGCAGTCTGGAGCCCACTCCCGCTTCTCCTTCAGTCTATAGCCGCTCGTTGTCCCCCTTCTCGATCCCACGCAGTGGAGGCGCTGGCGTGAATACTTCGTCGATCTATCGGTGTGCCTGATCGGAGTACAAACCACATGGACCAAGGACGAGGAACATCTTGAGTGCTTTGAGTACGTGGAGCTGATGATCGTTCAAGCCTAGAGGACCGACGTGGAAGGCGATCTTCTCGGGTTCCTGTTCGGATCGGTGCGCCCCAGTCATCGCCAGCCGATCCCCCTTGCGCAGTTAGTAGACGATCTCCCACTTGAAAATCGTCTCGCAGAGTGATGAGAGCCCGGTTCCTCATGTCCTCACACGAACTCTAACGCCGTATCTTCTGTGGTTGGCGTGCCTGGAGGAGCCAGGAACCAGCCGCAACCCCCAATCGTAGCGGGATTATCTGGACCCACGGGAGATCATCGATCTCGCCTTTTTCCAAGATCGGGCGGCCTCCGAGGACGAAGAAATAGAGATCGAGGAAGAGAGCGTCGAGGAAGAAGAAAAAGTCGTCGAAGAGGACGAGGAGGAAGAACCCCCGGAGGAAGGCAGTTATAGCGAGCACAACGAGGGAGAACAGAGTGAAGGCGAGGAAGAAGATGAGGAAGGAGAAGAGGAGCTAGAGCTGGAGGAGTCGGAGTGGGAGATTTTGGAGGAGGAGCTCGAACGAACGGAAGCAGAGCAGGCCGAAGACCCCGAGGCGGCGCGCAAGAGAGACGAAATCGCGGCCGGGAAACGGCAGCTGGAGTTCGCCAGCGCGGCAAGTGTGCCAATCACCGACGATCCGGCCCGCGATCCCGAGCCGCCTAAGCCTGAGGATGGAGAACAGGCCGAGACTTCGAGCGCACCGGCAGGGCGGTGATGAAGGCGATCCCCCTCCCCCTCCGCCTCCGACCGTCCAGCAGTTCGAGCCCGTACTGATACGGGGCATCGAGCTTCATCCCCGGTCATTATCCCGCCACCGCCTTGACTACCTCATCCTCCGTCAAATCACCACCCGTGTCACCTTCCCCCGTAACCCCTTCCCCATCGACACCTTCCGATTCTTCTACGCCACTCGCCTCGTCCTTACCGTTCACCCCCATCCCTCGACCCGATGTGCCCTCCCTGATTTCTACCTCCATACCCTTCTCCTTAGTGCCGCGTGGCGAGGCCACAATATGATCGAGGTTTATTGCATGATTACGGGGACTATCCCCGCATGCAAAAACCACGACCATTTTTGCGCGGCTCTTTTCCTCAACTTTACCACCCTGTATCCCGACTATCTCGCCTCTCTTCCGCACACTAGTAATCGCTTCCCCCGTTTCCACAGGATCGTTCGTTACCAAGAGCTCCCGGAAACAGTAGCCCAGGTAGAACGATTCTTACCCCCGCTTCCGATCAACCCTCCCCCTCGCTATGCCCCCATGTATCGGCTTTCGTTTCCCCTCCCCGATGGACACTGATGATCGGCGATAAGTTGATTGGTGTGCGCGCCACCACGACGACACGAATGATCCCCTCCTTAGATTGTCGGCAACCCTCCTAAGGAAATTGTAGGACAGAGCTTGCGGGCCACGTTGGATGACGTCCACACTCCTTTACACGGTAAGTGGCCATGCAGAAAGCTCCACGCGTCGATCGATTAAAGAGATCGACACGTGTCAAGATTCAAGCAAGCAGGAGCTTGCTTAAGATTGGAACCCCCTGGGCGTCACATATGTGACGAACCGATTTCCGCACCGCATGATTTTCTGCGCGGTAGTGACGAGGGGTCCTAAGCTGGGAAGGATGGGCGAAATACGGGAGATTGGGATGGATGGGAAATTGCATCGGTGACCTCGCTTCTTTGTCTTTTTGCGTCGGTTCCTTTTGGATGGCTGGTTCCGGCCCGGGTGGGCCCCGAGACGATCAATTGGTTGATTGGTTGTGTGAGTGGCGCGCCGCCGTGCGCGCGAATAATAAATGTTGATGTCGCCTTTTTGTTTCGGTTGTGGACTTTTGGGCGCGGACATCGCGCGGGAATTCTGCTTCATTCTTTTTGAAGTTTCCTTTTGAATTCTTTTTTAAATCTTGTCGAGCCCTGATGGCTCTTAGAATTTCGGACTTTCTTTTCGAAGTTTTTGCTTTTCGCTTTTCCACATTAGATAGGAATTTAGGAATTTTGCAATTAGGATTTTTTTCTCACGCGGCGCTTTTTGCTTACGCGCTTCTTTGTGCGGCTGCAACGGAACTCTGATTAGTCGGCGTCTTTAATCGTGTGTCTAACTGTAATTTTGGGCGGGCACCATTGTAACTGTATCCTTTCTTCTTGTACTTCGATTTTCCCGCTCTCGCTTTCTTTTGCCGTGTCTAGCTAGCCCGCGGACTGCATACTCGGATCGATGCGTGGAGAGAGGTTACGTCCCCCACGTTGCGTCCCGACCATGCAGAACGCAGGCGCTCCCTCTCCTAATCCTCTTTCTAAGTCCTTGTAATTCCGTGTTCTTCGCACATGCATACACACTATAAATCCCGGCTGCGCGATTAGATAGCTCTCTTAACCAGCTAGTGGAAGCTCGGGGTAGCGCGATCAGTGAGGGTCGGCTCACGAGCGAAGTAAGAGGTGAGTTGAAGTGGGAGTCGGGCGACCCAACGAGCTGGTGCCCAACGCGCGGGGTTGACGCGGGCCACGACAGACTGTGGGCGCGGGCGAACATGACGGGTGTGGGAGGACTAAGCGGGGTGACGACTTCGTGGGTTGGTGTGTGACGACGGACTGTCCGCATCGGAGAGAGAGAGAGAGGAAGAGGAAGCTGAGGTTGATGGACGTGGATTTGCAGTTTTCTTTGTCTTTTCTCCCTCCTCGCCTTTGTATATAAATTTTGATCTCGATCTTGGGCAATGCGCCCGTTTTCCTGTTGTTTTCGGAATTTCATTCTGGCTCACACTCGTTTTGCGTTTGATTTCAATTTTGCTTGTCGTATGCCTTGCCGAATGAATGAATGTATGACATGTTTGTTGCTTGTCTTTTGTCGGATCCTTGCTTGCTTGATCGCTTTGGAATTCCTCATGAGCATGGAAGGAACTTTGGCGTAGTCATTGAAACTCCTTCCCTTTCTGCTTATTCCGTTCTTTCGAGCACTAGGCACACCCGGGAATGAGTACGTAATGATTGCGTCCGGAATTGCGTAGTGATTAGATGATTGGTTAGTTGGGTAGTTGTCGACCCAGACATCGGCGAATGACGCACGGGAAATGCACATAGGTGCGATGTGACTCGCACAACCTGTACGCATTCCCGCTCATCAATTCGCAATCACCCGCGCATGAAAGAAATAACGACTGCGGGAATATTGAATGACTGAAGGTGACTAGTGGCCATTTGCATGCAGCGGCGCGATTGCCCCGAGTGAACACGTGTAAGCGCGATCCGAATCACGCAGCTTACGCGTACTCACCCACGGTAATTCGCAACACTTCGAATACTTAAACGCGCACTAGGAATCCCGCGGTTCCACAATGACAAAATGACACGCTCCTGGGCCTCAAACTCGCCGTGGGACCCGGAATACTTCACCCCTTGGATAGAAGAGTGCCTCCGACAGAGGTTCCCCTGCCTAACCGCAAATCGCTTGTGTCCTAGGGAGTTCCACTGTGCCACAACCAGCGATCCACGGTGCTCTGATTTCCCCACTTCGGACCACACCCAATACTTTATTTCCCCCGGCCTCGTCGTTATCTCCACTAACTTCCCTCCCTTCCGACTTCTTTTCCCGTATCATCAACTCAGGGTTGTTCCGTGGAAAGCCATAGGCCCATACTGGCCCCGCACGCCCTGCGGAAATTGCCGGCGACGCGGCGACGAGAGAGCCCCGGGAACCCGAGGGCCTAACCCGAACGCGCGATGACCGGCGCCACGTGGCGGCATCCGACGGCCTAATTCATTGGAATCACACCCACCCCGGGTGGACCTTCCGTCGAACAGCTGTCCTCAAGACAGACGAATCGTACGGCCTTGAATGACCCGCGCATGCCATTGGCCTTACGCCCAGATGCGACCCGCCCTCTCAAGCAAATTGCACTCGTGCCCCCGAAAAACTCTGCCACAGGAGATCTCAGTTCTGATCTGGGACTCCACCCCCACTTTCCCAAAAATCCTTGGCACACCCCTTTTCGCACTTCCAGACCCACATCCTACTCCGATCAGGAAGTCGCGCTGGGCGTGAGGTTGGGCGTCACACCCTGCCAGTGAGGCTGGGCGGATTCGACGCGAGCCTGCAAACTACCTCACCCACCTCATACTGAAACTGGTAGTGTTAAAAAAAAAAAGAAAATGAAAAAAACAAAAAAAAAGAAACTGGTACTAGTGTAGCGTTATAGAACCGTGATCACAGCATACGGGATGTTTTTTTTTTTGTTTTTTTTGTTTTTGTTCTTCGTCGTAGGACAGACGTTCAATGTGAGGGCATAATGCACGGTCATTAATCGGTCCAGACACAGACACAGGTGCAATGACCGAGTCACCGAGTACAACGACCACTCGTTCTATTCGGGTGAAAGCTTGTGGGCCTTGGCCAGTGAATGCCTACAGGCTCCCCCCCATGGTGATTATAGCTGAATTTGGGGTAGCTTTCAGTGTCTACATAGGGGCTCGTTCGACACTCCTTGGAGCGTCCTCGGGCCGAAGGAAGTTTCCTTGGGGGTTTTCAAGGAAATTCCCGCCATCATTCCACCTGTCCGCGGGGATGTCGCCCGAGGACATTTCCTTCCAACTATGTCAGACAAGAAGAAAAAAAGAAAAAAAAAATCAAATGTGTTTGAGGCCTTCAGGGAATAGGGTGCTGCCACGATCCAGATTCTCGGTTGTAACGTCTCTCTACCCAGATGTCGCCCGAGGACATTTCCTTCCAACGATGGCAGACAAGAAAAAAAAAGAAAAAAATAAATCAAATGTGTTTAAGGCCTTCAGCCAATAGGGTGCCACCACGATCCAGATAAATGAGCAGAAGTTTATCATCATCATCATCATATGAGGGACGCTGAGCCCGGTTCTCAGCAAGATTCTGTTCGGTCACTCTGGGTAGACTGTGAGGACCCCGGCCTCAATCTATCAGCGTTGGGCACAGGGCCCTCTTAAAAAAAAA